CTTAATTGCTTGCAAATGATAAAGTATCTTAGTAATGATCTATTTGTAAAAATCATAGTACACCACCGACCTTAAGGAAATTTAATTACAGACATCAAATGATGTCATCAAATCTCTTATTAAAACCCAATTACTCTTATTGCTTAGTATTCCTGGGCACTACTTCACTCGACAAGTCCACAAATCAGAACACAGATCAACAGGAACGTAATCACATCCGAAATAAACAAGGTTGAATAGAAGTAGGAATTAAAATAAGAAGAATGGTACTTAATTTATAGATACATATCCACTTTACCGTTATAAGTATTATCAGAAAGGGGTTTTGTGGAGATTATAGTAATTTAGTAGTTGGATTCATGAGTCACTTAAAGCTAGACCACCGTGGAAAACCTGAAAGCACTGGACGACTGTTTCGTCCTATTGTGGGATCCCTTAGCAGTGCGCATCCGACAATAAAAGCATCTTACATGGTATTGATTAATTCAACGGTGATAATGTACTTTTATCAATTCGTTGTTTGTTTGTTCAAATTAGTACTGAAGACTATTTTTGCCATTCAGCTTATTTTCATGCCATCATTCAATAAACAATTTTAATTTTAAATGGTCTATTCCCGAATACCTTATTATTTTCTTGTTACTTCTTTCTTTTAGGCCAGAAATTTAAATATTAATGAAGATCTCGATCCCTTAGATGTGGAAATAAGCTATGTCCTACCATTAAGTAATGATCTCTAACTCCTGGAAATTGTTAACAAAGCTGCAAATATACTTAAATATTATTTCAGAAGTAGAAAAATATAACAAAATATCTTTTGGTCATTTGTAGACCAACGTTTGATACATTACAATTATTAGTGCGATATGTACAACGTGGATAATCTAGTCTTTTAAAGTACACATTATTCAAATAAACTTTTCCATACTGGTATCAGAAGGGCTTTTGTGGAGATTGTAGTAGTTTCAATAGTTGAGATCATGAGTCGATTGAAGCTAGACAACCATGGACAACCTGGAAGCACTGGACGGCCGCTTTGTCCTATTATGGGACTCCTCAGCAGTGCACACCCACGACCCCGCCTCGCGAGATCCGAACCCAGGACCTGTCAGTCTCACGCGTGAGCGCTTAACCACTAAACCGGCATCCAACGGTGTTAATGTTTAACTTCAACTAATCCACAGAATTGAGCGACACATCCACCACTGTCATCAGTGAGTTACTATCTCACAACTGACCCGGTTGCTTAGATAACCTCTGAGAATCTTAAGTACAATCGTGAATTCCTTCGCATACTATGGTAGACCTTAAAAATCTATGGGACATGTTCATTGCTTCAATAAGCGTTATCATAGAATAGATTTCAATACACATTTCCAACAAACACTAAATTTTCTAGAATGAATGAGTATTTAACAACTTTCTATATTTATTTATCGATTTTCCTTATAGCTCATACTAACCACACCTCATAACATAAAATCAGTTAAGTATACAGGGGGTAAGGATGTTTTAGAATCAGTACATTCGAATCTGCATACATAAGTAGAATAAATTGTAAGTGTTATAACTTGTGGCTTTGTGCCCCAATCAATGCACAACGTATTGATCTCACCAATTGGAGAACAGGGAATTATCGATCGAACCAATGACGCATAAAACAAGTACGAGCAACCTGGAGTCCTTATCGGTCCTGCTTTCATGCTAGCTCTGCCTGTTAATTCCAGAATAATCTCAGCCTCGCGATATGAATCACGTATTTCAGACATACTGGGTTTATATACAAACCGAACGAACCACTTCGTACCATAAAATAGAAAGTAACATTTGTACAAGATCTAGCCAAAAAGTGGCTGTGAATGTGGGAGGTAGTAATTGATAGACTGGGCATAACTCAAGAATGGTAAATCGCATAATAATAGTTCATAGGTCAAAGTAAAGCTTATAATAAGAGAAACACGAATATGAATAGTTTAGATTTTTAACAATTATACGATAAAAATATACGTATAGTATTAGTCCAGAAAGAGATCCCAACAGTCACCATTTATTATTCTCATCGGGATATAACAGTACGCTTTGGTATGTAGACACCGTTAGGTGTGATCGATAAACGAACCCACCAATGACAACATTAGACGCCCCCCACCACACTAACTCTCTTTGACCTTGCATAACAATGCCTTGTTTATTAATCAATCATAAGTTTTGTTTGTCATAAACGATACTAGGTTTGTTAACTCATTATTCTTACCTCTAGTGGATGTTCAGTATGTTAATTATGCCTCTTCATCCCTGTTTATTAAACTGAAATAATTATTTTCTGTACACTAACAGTGTTAATTTACATTTTAGAAACAGATAAAGTTTATCAAGCCAAATAGCGTACTTATTGTAACTTTGGTTAAGTAAGACTCTGTGCTCAACAGTCTGGGAGTAGTTTAGAATTTCGTCTTAGGAAATTACTTCCTAGAAAATTTCAAACGGTAAAATCGATATACCTAATGAAATGACTTTCAATAAGTACTATGATTCTGATGGGATTCTGTAGTTGTCATCTCATCATCTGGGAGATTATAACGAGGACCAACTTGGAAGATATGAACTCAGGACCAAATGCCTGATAGGATTAGTGTTAGCCAAGTTACGTGTAACCCAGTTGTAAAAAGAAATTGAACTAGAAAGTTACGTCTCTAGAGAACCGAACGTCCCGGTCAATCAGTAAACGACAGTGAGAATGCAATACTAGAAATTTTGTATTTACCAAAGAGAGAAGATGCGATGGTACACTAATAACTTACTGGGATTTTATTAGAAACTTCGAAACATATATTGGATTTATAGCCAAGTTGAATTACTTAATCTAGTATTGTGACGGAGGATCGAGAGCCGCTATCCTTCATTGTACTATGCTGGAACCGGAGGTAGGTTATCGCCAAGTTTTAAAGTCTTTGGAGGAATCGTTTGATCAAAGACACGTAGCGCGCACATTTATTGACAACTACTGAAATTACCAACTCATGTTCAACAAGAGTGGCTAAAGGAGCTCATGAGATTATTAAGAGGGGTTGAGAGCCTTTGTTTGGCTATCTTACTGAGTTTGCTAAGGAACAGGTTGATATGACTAATACCAGATCTGGCCTACATGTTAACCGTGGTAGTAATGGTGACCATAGAGATGTTGGTATCGTCAAGGGAAAATCTAGTGCAGGTTACAACACAGTAAGGATATCCCATACAAGTACTGGTGATAACAATGTTCCCTTACATGTCGGCTATGGTTACCGTAGTTCATCTTGTTTGAAGTGCTCAGAGAATCATTCTTTAGATCAGGGCCAGAAGTTTGAAGATAAGGATGTTAGTGAAAAGAAAGGATTTGTTCTTAAGCAGAAGTTGTGTAAAGTTTGTTTAAAGGCGAACCATGTAGCGGAAAAATGTCAGTCACCAAGACCATACTTGGTTGAAGGGTGTGGTTGGCGGTACCATACTCTGCTTCATATGAAGTGGGGGGCGGACGAACGCTTCAGGACGTTCATGTCATCGCTTATCAGTGTAGAGAAACAGAAGACGGAGCTGAAAAGCACAAAAAATACGCTCGGGAAGGAGTCGCCTAGCTATAATTCTTATACTATTAAATCATGGCAAGAAAGTCATTCGGACCCGCGCCTTTTTAGATAGTGGATCAGACACTTCTCTCATTGTAGATGATCTGGCCAACGAGCTAGGCCTCGATGAAAAGCCTGAAATAGTGTACTTGAAGACTCGTGATAATAAATCGTCGTCGGTACGCAATGAGGTCGATATAGAATTGCATTCGTTAGATTTTTCGTCGTCTGTTTAGATCCAGAAAGTGTTGACGGCTGAAAGACTACTGTCAGTATACAGAACTGTACCAACGGCATATCAGATAGCGTCTTGGTCCAACTTAAAAAACACAAATTTTCCAGGAGTAGAAAATGAGAATGTCAGGCTGTTAATTGGGTGTAACGCACCAGGCGTACACGAGACGAAAATGATAGGGATTGGAAAGGCGAACGAGCCGTTCATTACATAAGCCTACTCAGAGGGCATTATCCTTGTGTGATCGTGAAAAGGAGTCATTAAATCGATTAACAGCTCCGTTCTTTCTCACTTGGTTGATAGTGAACATCAAGTTAAAATAGATGAAGGTTTCTCTGTTTTATATCAAGTTCCAGACGATCTACCTAAAGGAACTAGATTACGGCTCCTCTATATATCTGAAGCCATCTGGATCAATTCCAGAAAATTAGACTTATGTATCCAGAAGAGATATATCCAACCTCTATGTTTACTTTGGTCCACGACTGGAGCACCAGATACCTAAACTGTGTATAACAGGCTTATTGTTATTACCTCGTATTATTACATATTATATACACACAACGCTATTGTAATTACAATTGTTACCTCGATTAAGAAGGCGAAATTCTCCTACTATGCATTTTATTCACATGGCATACTATGTTACTATCATAGTGATGATAATTTAACACTTTACTACGAATCATTCTGACCTTTGTTAAATAACTTTTCTAATTTACAAGTAACACTTTTTCGAAGTGTTTATGACGTAACAGATGCAAACGTTCACCATTTTCAACACAACATTGTCAAATTCATCATGAGGCGTCATAACTCTTCTAAATGAAGATCTTCTAACTCCCAGGGCAGAGTTTAAATAGTTTGAATTATTTTCCTGGTTGGCGTTTTTTAGCGGGTTAATTTTCTAAGGGATGGGGTTGCTAACCCCATGCCAAACCCTCCTCATTTATCGCCTGGGACCGACAGTGGCCCCAAAGGGGCTCCAGATCGTTAAACTTCATGGTTAACGTCGCGTGCTGATCTTATATCCAACAGACTGAACACATAGTATCATTAGTATTGTATTGTAGTGTCGACTTTAAAATTTGTTTTCACTCAGATATATTACCCATGCTAATAGACTAGATTTAGTCAGCCTACTAATTTTGAAAACTCTAAAAGTCATTTGAAATTTATTTATGAAAACAAAAGGGAATAGGAGTTGGACAATAATAATAATGATTTTTGGTGATACGTAAAAAAGAAACAATGAAAATATATATTAAGAAGTTTTCGAGAAACCGACGACTTATGCTGTTATTCACTTTATATAGTACTGATTATAGCTGTTAGTATTATTAGAAGTAGTGATGGTGTGTTCATGATTCCTCGTGTAATTTTGTGCACATTTTACAAACTGGCATGATCTTCAGTTTCTTCTACAAGGATATCGTCAGTTTGTTGTTTCCAAAATGCTCGATGTATAAAAACTTGTCTAGGTAGCTGAGGAAAGTCAAAATATGGGAATGCGGAAAGAAATGGGAATAAAACATGTCAGTAGGTTATTAAAGTCATTGACTATTTTATAACTTACGCTTCAGAGTATTTTTGATGAGAAAATGTAGGTAGTATTACTAGACGTCACTCAAAACATGTATAGCTCCAAGATAAGTCAGTGAATACATATGTACTTAGTTGGTAAGTATACTGACACAGACACGTAAAATATTCCTCTTTTTAATAGTCTAAAATTGATAATCAGCTCTAAACATTGATCTAAATAGTTTCATTATGTACTAACCATCTGCATAGATAAGTAACAATGTTTATAAAGAGTTAGCTTGAAGGAGTTTTGTGTGGTTTGATTCTTAAATTGTATCGGTTACCGATTGACCTCAGTTGGGCTACTATTGAAACTCAAGGAGTAATAAGTGCCTGTTTTGGCCTACTACGAGAATCTTGAGCAGCGTATATCAATGAGTCCTTCAGAAAAGTTGAAAATAGGATTCTCGAATTTCTCGGCAAACACTTAGCTTTTAGAAATAATGGTTCAGCATCCAAAGGTGTAATTCTCAATTCAACCAATTCGTGGTAAATGTTTGAACTATATCGGACACGACTTCTACTAGATCTTCAGAAACACGGTTAGTAAGCTGGTTATTACAATCTTATTGAAGGAACCTAAATACTCTTGGTTCAATCCTAGGAGCAGTCATGAATATTCACTATCATAGAGTCCCGTACAAGGACGAAACAAATGTTCAGTGATTGTTAGTTTTCAATGATACTCTAAATCAGATCAATTACAAACAAATTAAACCCGTATTACACTTTATTGTTATAATTACTATTAATGATAATGACATTGTTGATAAAAACTTACACGATGGAATTGTCTCATACTTGCAGTTCTATACCATTGTATACCTTTATATAAAACCAATGATATAAATCCACATATAATTAGAATGGATATAGTTATCAATATAAAAATGTAACTGTTCAGTTTGTAAATATGCTGAAACAAGAATATTAAGGATAGAAAGAAAGAAAGAAGGAATGGTGTTAGTAATTATATTGAAGAGTTTTAATTCTGTTCCCTATTCAAATTGTTATAACTATTTTTATGATTAATATTTAACAGAATACAGGATTCAGTAGATAGAACCATAGATTATAACTATTAGTGTAATTTACGACGCTCATTTCATCGTACTTGTGGTTCGTAAGCTGGATGTATATGCGTAAAAACGGACGAGTCTCAAATAGGACTAAACGGAAATCCTGAATTCCTTTGATAGCCATAATTCATTTATTCTAAAGTCTTAATATAAAATGACAATATCAAAACAATCCGTACATGATGAACGCATATCAAGAGTGATTGATCGAAATTCAGTTCCATATATGATCCGTAGGATTATTCAAACATTAACTGCTGTTGATATAAATAGGCACACGTTTAGCAGTATGTACACAACAGATTTCGACGTATGAAAACTAGATCTTATTTGGTTCAGTTTGATCAATAGAAAGTCTTGGATCTAGGTTTTGCGTTATTTTACAATTATCTAGTTAGTTTATTTGTATTATTTTTGGAAAATTTTATCTCCGTGATATTCGCTTTCATATCATTCACTGCCTCAGTCTTCAAAATTATTTTCTCATGTAGGGCTGAGGTATTTACGGTGATTAATTTACATTCTCGTTATTATCTCTTGATGATTGTAATCATATCTAGTTAGCATGAAATTTAGATCAAAGATTTCTTCCTCTGATCAAATCCAAACAGTTGTACATAAAAAATGGGCTGTGATCATTTTCATTTGATCAATAAAAGTCGATCAGTATTAAAGACTAGAAAATATTGTATTTAATACTACTCTGTTGTTAATCAGCGTGAACTAGATCCTCTCAGGAATATTTTGCCTGAAAATATTTGTCTAAAACTAATCGTAGTACAGGGTATGAGAATAACTTATTTCAACTATTTCATAAGGAAACATGATAAAATTATATTAAACTGACGGGATTGAGCTCACCAATCGCAATTAAGATGGTACCTTGCGGATTTTCATGTGACAAGAACAACACAGTGCAACGTTGTTTGTAGGCTATTGTTAATGAAGTGAAAACTGGTGATATTTAGTTTCCAAACTGTTTGAAATTGGTTTCTTTAATTATATACTACGCAACCAAACGGTGAATATGACATGGTGCTCAAGTCAAATTACATGAAATATCTACTGTTGATGTAGACTCTGTCAAAGTTTATATTCATTTATTTAAACACATAAACATTGGTACAAAGGGACACCAAAATATACATGCACCACGCAAAATTTTCGTGAGGGTTGGGATAATCCCCGGCTGCCTGAGCTAAAGCAAGTGGTTTCATTAGGAGACCACTACCCGAGCCTTTGACCCAGAGATCTAATCCAAAAAAGGTGGGGAAACGTTTTTGAGATGTGCTCTCATGGTAGCCAGTGAGCAACAATAAGCTCATACACCGTTTTTTTCCTCAGGATCCAAGAGCTTATATGCACCAGTGGTTTTCAAGAATCCTAAGTAGATGTTCAGTAATCACCAACCTGGTTCAAGTTCCAGAAATTCGGTTTTTGTCATCTTGAGTTTATAAACAACACTCCCACTGTGAGGGGACAGTAAGACATTCCTGACCGTTGTTATATATGCCTGGCTGTACCATAGCATTTGTGAATCAATGTATGATGAACTTTGTATTCTCTCACTCTAACTCTTGACCCGAAATAATTATCCTAAGTAAATAAAAATGTGGCATGGCATCACTGCCTTATAGTTAACATCAATTCATGATGAAAACTTCAACCTTAATTTATAATTCCAACACATAATTCTAACTTCTATTATTTAACCCAGACATTTAAGCAATATAGCTGATATCAACTAGTGATGAGAACCTTAACTCTAACTCATAACACTAGTCCAACTCCTAATATGTAACTATAATATATTTAACATGTATTAGTTCATTATTAATCATAACAATATCAGCATTCCACAGTAGTTTTCATTGCATTTTATCATTGATTGCTTTATAACTAAACAGTGTTTCTTGACTGATGACTGACTGACTGATTGATTGATTACGGTGAAAATTTTTTGTAAGCTTATATTCTTTTAATATACATTTCATTATTTGAATAGACTGCTACTCTAGATTCTAAGTTATGTCGAAGTCAAACAGTCATGTTTAATAAATCTATTCTATGTAAATACTTATATCTTAAATTGAATATAATGTGTGTTCAGTCAATCAATTGCGGTCTGCTTGAACATACGGGCTATCTGTTCGTACCATCTAGATATTTCAACATGTTATTTAATTTTGTTTGTTTTAATATATTATTATGACTATTAATCGTATAATCTATTCAGGTACGTTTCTGAAAACTGTACAACCTTTCGTTGTACAAGTTAAAAAAATGCTCAATCATAGGTATCGTGGTTGTTGACAATATGCATCGAAAAGAATGTATATTATTTAGATGTCGATTTAACTGGACTGCTCACTTCTAACTGGCGACTACTCAATATGTTGTCGTCAGGATCGACCAAGAAGTAAGAAACGGAAAATTTTTGAATTACTTCGTGCTGAGAAAATCAAACGTCTTCGTTATATTTAATCAAAACCAGAAGTCATTCCATTTTTCAAATCAATTCAGTCTTTTTTTTAACATCCAATATTCAAAATTCAACATTTTGAACTTACCACAGTACGTTTTAATGGATTGGATAAATAGTATAGTTCACCATTGACAAATTTCACAGTTTCAAATTGAGCTAGGTGACCATCGATCATAAGTGTATCATTCTGTTATAAAAAAAAACACAAGCATCACAGATATTTTTACTCAATCAATTTAACTACTTACGAGTAGTTTCATAAAATAGACAAGTTTTTAGACATTTGGTTGGTTCACAAAATAAAAAATATTCGTAACATAGTGAATGTATTTATCTAACTGACCTATAAAAGAATTGGGGTTAATAAAAACATAGTTTCATAGGAGTCATAAAAGAAATTTGTGCCAATGAGTTAATCAACTCAACTCTTTACTAATAAAGAACTAATTAACACGTTGATACGCACAACTTGGACAAAATCAGTGATATATCTTACCACGATATTTGAAGTTTATTCAATCATTCAAAGCTATCTTACAGTCTAATAGGTTAGCAAAAGCGATTCATTCTTATTAACCAGTAGCATTCGGAATACGGATTAGGCTAAAAGGTGCTTCCAAAATAGATGGATTATAATATTATTTCATTGAGTTTTACTTAACAGTGTTCTAGTGTTGATGATATAAAGTTCAATCAGTATGTGTGTGTAACACTGAGTCTATGAAACTAAATGTCGATATTAAATAGTTTACATGAGATCATTTTGACCCAAGTTTCTTTTGATATACATCAATTTCAGTAAATAAATAGACTGAAGTGTAATTATTTGTGATTCATATTGAATGAATTACTGGAAATCAAACAAAAACTAAACAATTTATAGAAATTTTGATAGTTGTGATCATGAGTCAGTTAGAACTAGACCACCACAAAAATCTGGAAGCACTAGACGACCGTTTCGTCCTACTGTGAGGCTCCTCAACAGTGCACATCCACGGTCCCGCCTCGCGAGATTCGAGCCCAGCACCGTTCGCTCCAAGCTCCATCGCATCAACCGCTGAGTTACTGGGTCCAGGTAGCCATTGGCTTGTGCAATGAGATGAACTTTATATTCATTCTCGTATTGTTTGTTTGAATCTTCCGGTTGATGTTCAGGTCTGTAATTGATAAGTACAGTGTACTCACTGGATTAAATGACTTGTTCTAACTGTTCAGTGTATGTGATAATGAAATATTCAACTACCGTATAATAACTGTGAACGATTTTAATGCTCAGTAATCACCATCTATTAGAAATTTCAACCAAAAGATAAAGAGAGAAATAGTTCTTTCAAAGTTATAAATAATTCTAGTTTAATAAATACTGTTTAGAATACTCCAAGGATTAATTAATAGACTGGAGGCCCTGGGTTCGAACCCCGCAAGCGGGATCGTGGATGCGCACTGCTGAGTCCCGCGAAAGGACTAAACTGCCATCCAGTGCTTCCAGGTTTTCAATGATGGTCTAACATCAATCGGTTCATTATCTCAATCAAAAACTTAACAATCTTCACAACTCCGAAACTGATATTCCAATCAGTTATATACAAAATTAGTCAGTAGATTAAATGATACCTTTCAATCAATAAACCTTACTTGTGTTATATAGATAACTATTATTTGAAATATAAATCAGATTTACTTTGTATATATCAAATCTATTACGTCACTCACCATGGGATATACTTCAATCACAGTATTATTTTCAGTGATTAACTTAATCGGTGATTGAACTGTAGCATATTTAAGTTCATTTATAGTCAAGGGTTTTGATCGTACAACTATGTGCTCTTTAACATCTGTGCAACTTCGAATTATCTGTAAAATAATAAACAATAATGAAATACAAGTATGTTATTTTCATTTGTGCTATCAAACCTATAATGCCATGCCTTGTGTTTCACTTTTTGTTCAATATATATATTACTATTTATTATTAGTCAGTAGTTTCAGTTGTGTTTAGTCATTTATATTTCTCTGAACTATACCGAATGGCATCAACTTTGCTGTCATTTAGCATTTTATCTTGCTTTGTTGTTTCTCTCTTAGTTTAACCCCTTTAAGCGTGCTAACCTTTACAAATTCTTTTTCCATAACTAAGGCTTTTATCTTCTTTAAACTTATTATCTAATCGGTTAGCTGATAACTTGAGTTTCGCGAATTCTTAATAATTCGTTCTATCATAGTTTTTAAAGCGGATTTCATGTAAAATTAGAATCAGAAGTAAGGATAAAGTACTATAAAATATAAGTTCCTGTGCAATATATTTCGTGCTAGATTTAGAAAATTCAGTTGTCCTCAGCATGAACTCGATTTTAGATTGAATGGAAGATCTTCCTATTATGATGGGATAGATATAATACTAACAATCATCCAGTCAGTTTAAGTCGAGCTGACTCATGATCTTAACCATTGAAATTACTATAATATCCACAAAACCCATCTGATATTATTCAACATATGCTCACTAGTGACTGGCTTCACGAGGTATATCCTGGAGTTCTAGTAAGAAGTAGTGACCAGTGGAGTTCAACCAGGTCTGTTGTGAGATAGTAACTCACTGAAGACAATGGTGGATATGTCGCTCAATTTCGTGGATAAGTTGAAGTTAAACATTAACACCATTGGATGCCGGCTCAGTGGTCTAGTGGTTAAGTGCTCGCGCGCGAGACCAGTAGGTCCTGGGTTGGAATCTCGCAGGGGGCGAGGTCGTGGATGCTCACTGCTGAGGAGTCCCACAATAGGACTAAACGGCCGTCCAGTGCTTCCAGGTTGTCTATGGCGGTCTAGCTTCAACTGACTCATGATCTCAACCATTGAGATTACTATAATATCCACAAAACTCATCTGATATGTTTCAATATATGATAATTTGTCTTAATCACTTAATGGTTATCATGTGATATGTCACAATTAAGAAGTCAATGTATTAATACAACGATATGGTTAATTAGTCATTCATCTGTTGTTCAGTTTGGTATCACATTCATCAATCAGTTATGTAGAAATTATAATTTCTTATTTATAGTGATGTGTGGTTAAGTAATCAACGTGTATATTTCAATAAGATTTTGAGTTTTAGTGTTTGGTTTTTTAGCCTGATTTATTCGTTTCCCGACTGGAATATTGAGGATGGAAGGTGGAGATCATGAGGCCAATAGGATTTAAGATATTAATATCATAGTTATGAGCTAGGAAGAAGGTTATTTGTCTGACAGACATAAGATTTAATCGTAACTAATGCACTGTCTATCTCATGATTCAGTTAATTGAACGTGTGTAGGGATGAGAATCACAATTGATGTGAATAATAAATATTAATAATGATAATAATAACAAGAATAGTATCAATGAACATTACTTACATTGGATGGGACAAATATGTAAAAGTATTTTGGTGGATTCAATGTTCTCAAAGCTAATTGTGTTTCTGATGAGAGACAATGATCATGATCTACAATAAATTGAGGTAAATCTTTTTCTTGTTCCAATGTTTTATATACATCCAAGTGACAACGTGTACCAGATAGTATTGTCCCTTCAATACAAACACATTCAGTGATACCTAAAATGAATATTGTAAAGTTAGAATTTTGTGACATAGGAATGCTTAAATAAATAATTATATACACTTATTGATCAAACATCTTTTTAAGATAAGATAAAGAAGACTAGGCTAGTCAAATGAAACTTAAGTATTTATCTATTATCTGCTGAATTACTTTTAACCATTTATAGATTGCAATTTAATAAATTAAATTCTGTTACTGAGCTTTGAGTGTTGGTAGGCGGCCTATGCTCTTCCACGAGGAATATCAGGCGTAAGTAAGTAAGTGAATGAGCTTTGATACGGATTTCCATACTAAAAACAGGTAAATACAACGTTGTATTCCTGAATATCACCCTAATGAGACAGTTAAAGATAACCTTGTTCTGATCTTCAATTCTAATAGATATTTTAAATGGTACATTACGATGTGGTTATTGACTCAAATGATATAACATCATGTGCCGATGTTGTTCAAGTTAGGTATTTGAAAAGTTGGCAGAAATAAGCTGACAAGAAATCTTATCACACAGAATAAAACACAATCTGTATGATATGTGGAACCTATTCAAGATATTCGAATTTGATATCTTATCAAACAGAATTAGTTAAGTGAATAAACCACTAGGTGACAAGTTAGATGTTGTTATCTTACATTGTTCTTACTCGTTACCTTTCTACTCTTTTGTATATTGTCTTATACTACTTATTTACATTTAGTACGATTTTCACACTTATGTTGTAACGCAAGTTGTGCTGTAATATTCTTAAATGTTCACATACACTTATAACGTTTATTGTACTTATCATTGTATTTATCAATATAATTGCTGTATCTTAATCGCTGTAGCCGTTATCCACAGTTTTGTGCATTTGTTTAAACGCAAAAGTTTCCATATTGTTTGCTCTTGGTTCGGGTTTCGGCTGTTCGTAAACTGTTATCACATTTAGACACAGCTATCAGCTGTCGTATGTTATAATTATTCTTTATGTTACTGTTACAGGAGGCGTTTTTATTTTCGTACTTGAAGGACGTGTTTAAACGCCCCAGATACCTCACAAGTTGAGGTTTATAACTAAGTTTTGTTTATTATCCAATAAAGAACCGCTATTATAGACAAATCGTTGTTTTGGAAAATTCGGTTTTGCACGTATCTCAATCGGGTAACTTGGACGCTTCGATAGACTTAACAGATGTTATAGCAAGAAGAATTAAAGAGAGATTAAAAATCATGTAACCTACTTTTTTCAGGACATTGTTATTTACAGTTTGGTCATTTGCTTCCATGATTTTGTTTGATCAATAGACTATTTCCATATATTTTTCCGTCGACAAGTTAAGTAGTTTTAATAAAGAATTTATTACTCTGACGACTGTTAGTTTAAATGCCTAGCTTTCGGCAATATATGTAAAGATGGATAGTGGTTAGTAATGGAATTCAGGACGTGCGTTTCGTCCTATCTGTGACTCGTCAACTGGATGCACCTGAATGTACCACTGCTAGCCACTGTCCAACTTTATTTATAATGCTTGTGACTTAAGACAATATCGAGGCAGTTTGAACAGGATGCACATATGCCAATAAGAGACTGATCAATTGTAGTTCTAAACATCAATGGGAAGATTCACAAAAAAATACAAAGTGAATTTAGCATATTGTAAGTTTTAAATTATTGTGCTCCATAGTTTGTCTATCTATGTATCTGATCATGCAGCTTTGGGAATATGTTGTGTTTTAAGTTTTCGAGGTTTGCCATACTATCGTCTTCTTATCTCTTTGTCTTTTGCTCGTGTAGAAACAGATGTCTGAGAAATCAATCGGTGCTTAAATATCAAATGATTTAGTCAGATATTAGGAAAGTCAGACCACAAGATCAAATCATTTATAATTGGGTTCAGAGTGCTGTCACAAGTTTATATTAGGTGGCCTATTGTATCAAGGATACTAACAAGTTACGAGTCAATTTCTCTTGAACATGTGAAACCAGGATTAGTAGGCATCTCAAATCATCACATAAGATAATATTTTGTATCTGCTGGGATCCAGAGGGCTTAGAGGTCAACATTCAGAATGAAATATCGAATTTCTTCAAGACAGTAATATTTTTAATCAAGTTTACTGGAGTCACTTATTGACAGGTGTAAATCACTGTTAGATTTAGATGGTCTCTCCAAGTTTGTTTTATTTTAATTTTAACAGGAGAACATCACTATCATACGAACGCGTTTAACACTAAGAAACCTATTACTTAAGGTTGATTAAATCACGTGAACTTAGATACCTAAAGTCGTACTGTTTAGTCAAGAACTAAATAGCAATAATATCATTCATTGACATGCTATTATTATTGACACAAATATCAAGAGGGAACCGGTGGAGAAGTAGCGTAAGATGTAAAATAGTCTGTTATATATGTAACACACACTTACTAGCCAGTTATGGCTTGCTTTGGTCGGATATATCAGTTAAAAAGTAACAATGTAATCTACAATATCACAGATTTACCTCTAAATTTTATACAGTTTTACTAACAATGAAAAAGACAAACTAAAAACAAGCTAAAATGCAACTATATTAATTTACCTCTTGGGATATTATGTATACATCTACTAAATGGTTGACATTCTCGTGCAACGCAATCTGATTTACATGAGAAACCGTCACCAACAAATCCTGGACGACAAATACACATATGACTGAGTAACTAGACGAGAAAAAATAAAACAAGGTGATCAAAAACAATATTGAACTGAATAGTTTTAATGTAAGTATTAACTACAGAGTTATTTTCAGGGAATGAGTTGCACTTAGCCATGTTATTTGGAATCTGATTAAAACGGTATTATTATTCATGCTTGATACTTGAACACTTGATAACGACTTTCTAACCGTTTCACAATCTCTCAAAAAACTACAGTTGTGTTCCAGTCAGCGGTATCTTTAAAGAGAAACGTTTTTTTCTTGGTTAATTTTGAGATAGTAAACATGGACGTTTTTAGGTTCCTGTTTCACTTCAACATTTTAGAAGCTTCTGGAAACATATCAAAATCAGTAACAAGGTAGGTAGTTATCCAATAAAGTGATATGTAACCCATTGTTTTTCTCAAGCTCTTAATTGTATTGACTATAACTTGAAAACTTAGAGAAAAAATTTCTTGTACACTCTCTCAAATGACTTTTCAAATTTACAAATGACATGTTTTAGATATGCCTAAGGATTAATCGATGTGGATGTTCACTATTTTGACATATAACATTGTCTAATTCACCTGTTTTAGTCACTTTAGTACAAAAATTATACATACAGACGTTAGAAGGTGGTCGCACACTACTAGATTCCGGCTAAATGGTCTAGAGGTTAGGAGCTCGATTGTGAGACCTGAAGATTCAAGATTTGATTGCCGATAGGGTTTCGGATGCACTCTGCTGAGGTGGTTCATACTAGGACCAAATAGATGTTCAGTGCTTCCTGGTTTTCAGTGGTTGTCTAACTAACGTCAGTACGTGATGTAATCTATGAAAATCTAACAATCACCACAGTTTTAATATACTAAAATAATGATGATAACATTACCTGCTTTTTCTTTAAACTAACACCCAAATGTTCAGCGCATACAGCTGACGGGTCACATAAGTCAGCACATTCATCCGTTAGCGGAGTTATTGGTGCGCATACGTAACGTCCATCACCGAAATAACCTGGTTTACAAATACATTCTGCTTGTTTATTTAGTAAACAAAATGCATTCGGTGCACAACCACATAGTCCTGTTCACAATTGAATAACACACACATAAATTGACGAAAAAAAGAAAAAAAGAATCAGTGTATGTAGAATGGCGTATACAATACAATAACTGAAATGAAATATGCAAAATACAACAATCTATATATTTTTAAGGATTACATTAACTAGTGTGAATAAAGTGATGATGTACCCTCATGTAACTCATGGAGTTGTACCTCATGGATAGAACATGTTTTCAGAAAGGGGGGGGTGATAATCTGATGAGTATGGATATATTATGTGCCTATCCTCATATTTATTCTGAAGCTCAGGCGGTAAGCGAGATATCACGAGCTGGGCAATCTATTGGAAGCCGATAATGCACCTAATCAAAGTTACCCAACCAGCCAAATCGTATGTATACCAATAATTGGTGCAAATAATAAGTTAGTCTGCCAATTAAACTTTTATGCTCATTTCAGTTTTCTGAGTTGCATAGTGAGTTTGTTATACTCTAGGTAATACATTTTGTAAATGAATCTTACAGCAGAACACAATAGTTTACTTTCTATCGAAATATTTATTATTGTTGTAAGTTATGTAGAGTTGTTAACTATCAATATCCATAAACTACCGAAATAATAAGCAAACCCAGTAGCTAAGTGGATAACGCGATGGTATTTGAAACGAACAGTACTGAGTTCGACCCCCAGAGTGAACATCAACTCTGAGGTGCAGGTACATTCAGCTGAAGAGTCCCAAATATGACGAAACGCATGTCCTGAATTCCACTGCTAGTCACTATCCATCTTTACACACAAATTTAATACTTGATTTCATGAGTCAATTAAAGCTAGACCACCATGGGAAACCTGGATCTGGCGTGCAGGATCGTGGATGCTCACTGGTGACGAGTCCCACACTAGGACGAAATGGAGTTCAAGTTTCTTATTTACGTTTACATAAACATAATATCTCACTGTTAGATCTACACTATAATGTAACTAATCGTAAAGTTTTTCTAGTTCGCTTTCAATTTTTATTTGTAATAACATAAAGCTTAACTTTCTGTTGAATAGCTATACTTCAAGTTAGATAAAATAACAGTTCAATGCTTTCTGGTTTCATCGTAACATTTCAATAATGGAATGCGAAGACGAAGGATATCAAAATTCTGTGATATATTTGCACAATACATTACATCATAACAGTTGTCCAATCGCAACTAGTCCTTAATGTGAAATTTCAAGGTTAACATTTTATAATAGGTTGATTCAGCCAATCAAGTTATGAAGATTTTCCCATCATCTTATTGGTTGAATTTAATAGTCTAACGAACCAATCCACACATAGTCCGTATTCTACCCTATTTATGACTGAATAACTGACGAAAGAAGTAAATCAAATCAAAACTGACACAATATTACTACTTACTTGCTATTTCATCAATATCTTTTTCAGAAATATTTTGACTTATAGAATAACGTGTACCAAGTATTGATGTAGTATAATCAATTCCTTTGGCTGGATGATAATAGCATAAATAGAGGAGACCTTCACGTTGAGCAAGTGTTTCACGATATAATAGCATATCTTTTTCACTTAATACAGTTGATTTACGATTATTAATCATAGTATTACTATTACTATGTAATGGTGATGTAAGATAGGTGGTAATTTTCTCTCTATCCAATACAGTTCCCGGTACACTAGAACATAAACCGGAACTACTAGCTAAATAAAAACCATCTTTTGATGGTGGTACACGTAACAGTAGAGTTTTATCTTCACGACAACATTGCATAAAATAAACAACATGATTTTCAATATCTTCATGCCAATGACTATTAGGAATTATTTCACCATCTGGTGATATGGAATGTATACTTTTTAGAATGAAACGTGGAATTTTCAATGGAAATTCTCTGGAAGCTTCTAGGAGATAAATCAAATACAAGATCAAATGTTTATTTATTATAAATATTTAAAAGAAGAAATAGTTCAAAAATGAAAATAAAAGTATTCAAATTTGTTTAAAAGTAGTTAAGGTTATCCCCGACAACTTCTTGGTGTCTTATATGTGTTGTATGGAGAATTTTCGGCCATTTTTTCTCTCGTTTATTTACTGAGTGAGTACTACCTATTGAAGTTGAATTTTCATTAAAACTTTCATTTTAAGGATCTGGAGTTATTTGAAACATCTCAATATAGGATGATAGTTCAATAGTGTTATATCCCAGAGTAGATTAAATCACGAGTAACTTCTGAGAAATATTAATCGACTAACATTATCTATAGCTTCTCATGGTATAGCTATTTAATAGTTAGATTATGTATATTTATATTCCTCTTATTATAAGCTTCATTTTGACCTATAACTTATTATTGTACGATTTACGGTTCTTAAGCTATGTTCAGTTTATTGACTACTGCCTCCCACGTTCACAGTCACTTTTTGCCTTTATTGTGTACAAATGTTATTTCCTCTTTTATGGTGCGTTGCGGTCTGTTTGATTGATATATAAACTCAGTATGTCTGAAACAAAAGATTCAGTTCGATTTGATTCGCATATTGGAAGTTGGTATTGTGTTCTGGACTCAAGTGTACGGGTTAGGCAGACATAGGACCAAATAAGACACTAGGCTGCTCATACCGGTCGAACGTCATTGGTTTTCGCACAGTGCTAAGATTGTATAAGCCGTATTTTGATTGGTGGATAAATCACGTGATAACTAGCCGGACATAAAGTCACAACAAATAGATCGGATGACGAATACAAATATACTGAAAGTTAGTACTTGAAATGAATTCTTAGATGAAAACTACACTTCAATATGTAGTACTTATTCGCGAGATAAACGGAAGAATGATCAAAATTGATGAATACAAAACACTTATAGAACATTAAAAATGATGAGAAAAATGTCAACCCTTAAAGCTATCAGTAAGATGAAATATTTGAGACTATAGCCTGTTTGTTGCTTTTTATTGGGTTTTCACTTTTTCGATGTCCTTCATCATAAAACCCGAAATTTATATGTGATTATCAGTACAAAGGTTTGAGAAGATTATTAAATGTTATTGGGACAGTTACTCACCGAAGAAAGTAGATGAGAGCTTAGTATTGTGATACCATTGCTAAACAATTCACTTTATTGTTAAACTTAACAGAATAAATTTTGAATGATTAAAAAACAGATAGCTTAGCATTGTACTTTGATGGTGTAATATTTCAGTGTATTATGATAAACAAATTAAATTATGATATTCAGATTTGCGATTATGCACGTTGGTGATTAATTTCGAGAGGAAATTTCTAGAGTTCTAGTGAGAGGCCATGACTTGCAGAGTTCGGCTTTATCGTGTGAAGAAGATGGACACTAAAGACAATGGAAGATGGTCACTCAATATAACAGATTAATGGATGTAATACTTATATACCAATGGATTCCGGTCTAGTGATCTAAAGATTAAGTGTTTATGCATGAGACATGAAAATCCTGTGTTCTATCTTCGGTAGGGTCGTGAATGCTTAACCTTAAGGAGTCTCATACTGGGCCGAAACAGCTGTCCAGTGCTTTCTGGTTCTTGACGGTTTATTTTATTAACTTATATCAGTTAGCGATTTTGATAAATTTTGATTCCCTGGCAAAAGATTATCGTGTTTTACCATCTTATTATTATCCCACTGGATGGATATGTACACATAGTGAATTATATAAAAGCTGACCTATCATGTATATAGTACGATTTTAACTCATGATCTGTACAATTAATTTTTTTCTGGTTAGCGTTTTTTAGCGAGGTAGTTTTTTACGAGATGGGGTCGCTAACCCCATGTCCAACCTTCCTCTTTTATCCGGGCTTGGGACCGACAGTAGCCCCCGGAGGGACTCCAGGTGCAGTTCTGTACAATTAATGTCATATATAACTTCAACAATCACATAAGTTTGCTTATGATTCCTTGAAAAACCAAGTTCTAACATATTTTTAAAAAAAAGTTTGTTAACCATTTAGGTTAAACTTATAGGTTCGCTGATTATAAACGGGATCGTCAGTTTGTAGACAGCGAAATTCAAACAGGATTTGGCTTAAGTGATCTCTAAAAGTCAAATAAATCTTATTTTTAAATTGAACAGTGACAGTGAAAATTGTTTAGGGAGAAAACGGACGTAAATTACTTATCACATACTCATTCCAATCGGACAATGTGTGTTCATGGTAAATATACAGTAATCGCCAGCAGGCCATGTTGAAAATTTACTTGTAGTACCACTACTACTATTCTGTTCATTAGTATGTACACAAAATTCCATGGTCACGTAGGCGGTTATGTTGAATATAGTCTCTGTATTGGTATTCGGATTGCTCATTAATTGTTGTTCAGTTTCACTGCTTGCAAATATAAAACGTTTACGTTCAAATGTTTCTGGACATTGATATTTACTGCCACTGATAAAATTTTTACCATCTTGGACATTTGTAGATGATGCTGTTGTATTAGTCTGTTCATTATCTGCAGCAATTGTTGTCACATATGATGTACGCAAGCCACTACGTCTTCCTATAGGAAGCATATATTCACCAGATGGCCATTCTATAGTGTCATTCATCCATGATATCGGTAAATAATGACATAGAACATCCCACTGAGGTTCATGCTTACCTTCTGAACCAGAAACCAGTCGTACAAGATAACGTTCCACCTGAGAGTATTTTATTATTAAAAATACATATTAACAAAAAATACAAGTGAATTCAGTGAATTATTAAAAAGTGTACATTATACAACTTCATTTACTGGTTATTTCCAGTATAAAGGTGTGTGGAGATTGTTGGATTTTATTGAAATCATGAACCAATCTAAGTCAGAACACCATTGGAAATATGGAAGGACTGAAGGGCCATTTTGTCCTAGTATGGGAATCCTTAAAAGTGTGCATTCACGATCCCACACGCGGTGACCAGTGGAGTTAATCCGTGTCGGGTATGAAGCAGTTACCCAACGAAAACAATAGAGGATGAATGAGCAAAACCATAGATTGAATAAAGTTAGGCGTTAACACCACCAGATGTCAGCTCAGTCATCTGGAGACTAAGCGTTTACACAGGAGATCGAAAGATTTGGTTTAGATCCTGGTTTGCAGCGGGTCGTTATGAGTACTGCTGAGCAGTCCCATACTAGGACGTAAATAGCAGTCCAGTGCTTCCGAGTTTTAAATGGTGGTCTAACTTAGATCGATTATTCGTTTCAAAAAGTTTTTTCATCGAATTTTCCTTATTGCATTGAGGAAACGGTACGTTAGAGTTTAAATAAGTTGTCAATCATAATTAAAATGCTGTTTTGGTTACTTGGAGAAATTCATGTTTCATTCGTTACTGTTTACTAAAATAAAGTGAAATCCACTAAATCCCAACTTAATGATCTGAAGGTTAAACACTCTCCTCAACGCTTCAAGGTTCTGACCTTAACATTTTGTGCGGATATGGTAATTTCCATACTAGCAAGAAACAAATGTCCAGCGGTTCTTGATTACGACAACTGTCTAGCTAAAGTCAGTTTGTGATATGAAACTTCAAAATGGACTATCGTTGAATTGATTAGGTTATGGGTAATTCATTTTGCATTAAGATTAATAAACTGTACAGATTGTTTTGCAAATGATAATCGAATTTCATTTGACAGTAATAAACCTTTTGTCTGGGTAACTATGTTTCTGCATGAATTTTTATGTTGTTCAGCTTTGCAAAACAAACTAGTGTTATATCCGAGTGGAGATTAAATTACAGGTAACTCCCGAGGACTATTCATGGATTAATATTCTTATTGTATAACTATTCAACAATTACATTATGTATATTTATATCCCTCTTATGACAAGCTTTATTTTGGCCTATAATTTATTATTGTACGATTTACGGTTCTTAAGTTATGTTCAGTTTATTAACTACTGCCTCCCACATTCACAGCCACTTTTTGGGCTTATTTGTGTACAAATATTATTTCCTATTTTATGGTACGTTGCGGTCTGTGTGATTGATATATAAACCAAGTATGCCTGAAATAAACGATCTGCTCTGATTCGAAGCTGGTATCTTGTTCTGGACTCAAGTGGAAGGGCTCGTAGGACATAGGGCCAATAAGGACGCTAGACTGCCCGCACCGGTTGAACGTCATTGGTTGGCCTAGTGTAAAGATCCGTATAAGTCGTATCCGGATTGGTTGATAGGTCGCGTGATAGCAAAACAAGACATCCAAGGTCATAGCAACTAGTAACATATTTTTCAGTAATAAAATATGCTATTCATGTTCAATGTTCGTTAGAAATATTGAATATCGATAAAACTATTTATAAGAATTAGTTACATGTGTTATTCAGCAACCCCTTTACGAAGCTGTATGTGTCAGAAAGGGTTTTGTGGAGATTATAGTAATTTAATAGTTGAATTCATGAGTTGTGAGTTGGGTGATACTAGACACTAACACCGTTAGATGCCGGCTCAGTGGTCTAGAGGTTAAGCGTTCGCGTGCGATATCAAAGGTCCTGGGTTCTAGTCCCGCGTGCGGGATCGTGGATGCGCACCGCTGATGAGTCCCATTCTAGGGTGAAACGGCAGTTCAGTGCTTCCAGGTTTTCCAAAGAAGCTGTATGTACTTAAAAAACTCAGGGTCTATTTAGCTGTCAATAATCTGTATAATTTGAAAATGCTATTCACTGTAAAGTTTTCTATGTTCGTTTATTGACTTCAATGGAATTAAATGATTTATGTGTGTAAACATATATTTCCGATGTGAATACCTTGATTGTAAACTTATTGTGGTGTTTGTATTAAATAATAAGTTTTTCATACATAACTTCTTGGTTTATTAATATTTCAATAGATTACGATCATATACACAATATTGTGAATTGATTAAAGTTAGAAATGTAAACAATTGGATACCAGGTTAGTGGTTTGGAGGTTAGGAGATCATCTTGAAATCTGAAGGTCCTAGACTCAACTCCGCCTTGGTAAGATTACTAGAGAGCACCACTAAGGGAGTTTCATACAGTGACGAAACATCTGTACAGTGATTTCCGATTTCCAAAGGTTGTCTTACCAAGATTAGTTTGTGAAATGAACTATGAAAGTCAACAGTCTCTAAAACCCTATCACATCAATAATTTCTATTCTATTAATGTGACATAAGGCTGGAGTTGTCCATTAGGTAATTCATTAGACCAGCCGTAAATCACTGTTTTAGTTTCGTAAAAACCATGTAGATAGCAATGAGATTTGTAAACATTTATTCACTTGTCTTAATTCAGCTATATATAATCATGTGGTTTTATTGTGTTTTTTCAATCTTGTTCTGTGTTACTTTGATTATTTATCAGCAATTTTCGGTCATTTCGATTCATTCTGAATCAAATCTGTTCAATGTGGTTCATAACGACAAACATCTTATTTGTCTGTCGGTAATTAACTGCCCCAGTTATATCTATATATACAGCACCTTGACATTAGACTTTTTTTGAAAGCAATTATGTTGTGCCCGACGGCTTGATACAGCCGTGATATGCACTTCCTATGGTATACTAAACTCACTATAGAAAGGAGAAGATTGAGAAATAACTGAGAATCATACCAAATTATAATGTACTTTAACTATAAGTATACATACAATCATCCTTCCAACCCAGAAAAGGACATGTAGGCTAAGATCTAGAGTATAAACCATATTGATCCCTCTAAAAGCGTATTTCATTTATAATTGTTCACTTATCATTTGACACTGAGACATAATGGGAGGACAGATCATAATTTCTATATACTCATCCAGCCTATCACTTAACCATCCTTAAGATTTATCTTTAACGTCAGTTGAAGTAACAATGATCAATTGAATTATTTACAAGAATTCGATTGTAATAAATATTGGCTCGTTACACTGAGAATACTTACATGAGTATCTTTTATTGGTAAACATTTTTCACCACCAAATAAGAAGAAATCTTCGATAAATGGCCAGTTGACGGGTTTAGGATCTTTAATATTATCAGTTCGACAACAAAGTTCAGAGAATGCTCGGGCATGTCTATGAAGACCTGGAAATATATATACATATATGTTATAAATGTATGTCATTTGAGAATGCTGTACAATCGTATTTATGGATTAATACGTCTGTTAAAAATAGTAGTCTATAGTAAAACGTTTGCACTGTACAAAGAAAGCTCTCTTGAAGCATACCTTCAAACGTTACCCTGCCTGGCTGTTTAAAATACTACAAAAGTCAACCAAAAGCTCAATCTTGAAACATCTAATTAATTCTGGTTACTACTCTACCAAAATTCTCATTCAAAATCATCCATACAATCAGAGGAATCGGTTCAGAAAGAGTATAAATGAAACTGATATACAATAGAGGCAGTAACTATCCACTAATTAAGGTCTAACCTTTGCATATAAAAACAGTATGTTCAATCTCTCATTCTAACACAGTCTTGTCCATCCTTTCTATCTTCGATCGACTATTGCAATTTTTAAAACTCCTATCAAATAATTTTTCACAAGTATTAGTTAGCTATTATTATGATTTTTAAGTATTCTTAGTATAAGGGAATTTGTAGAGATTGTAGAATGTTCACAATTTAAATCACAAACTGATCTTAGCTAGAGCACCACCGAAAACCTGAAAGGACTGGACGGTTATTTCGCCTTCTCAGTGGTCTAAAGGTTTGCGTTTGCGAGCGAGATTGAAGATCGTGGGTTTTATTCCTGGATGCAGGATCGTGGATTCTGTGGAATCTCATACTAGGACGAAACGGCCATGCGGTGCTTGAATAAATGAAATTGTCGAAATAAAACGCTTTTTCACTGAATGACCTTTGTTTTTCCTTAATGACGCAATGAGTCTACTTCGTTATTTGTTGTTTATTGAATATTTGAATGTTCACTTAGATGTTATCGTGACGAGACTATAATTTATGGACGAGCCAAGTAAAAGCGAGTGAGCGATTTCAGGGTCACGGAGCCTATTTAAAATATTTAATGCCCTCGCACGATTGGTTTATAGCAGATTTCAAGGAGGACGTTATAGTTGAGTGGCTACAACCGATGGGATTATTGGGAAGTTCCTTTATTTGTGATTGAAAGGTTCAACTGGCTACTGGACAGTGTGAAGACTATCGTGACGATGTTGCATTTCGGTGCAATATATGTTAGAGGGGAAAGTCTGCTAGAACAGGAACTTTTTTCGGTTGATCCCGATTGAAACTAAAACAGATTATGACAAGTGTTGTAAAATGAATAATAAAAGCACCAGTAACCATGACTGCAACCTTTGTAGATGTTACTGAAGCTTTGGCAGTTCAATCGTATAAGTACTGTCAAGATACATGTGCAATTATAATGACAATCTGCATGATTCTCCCGATTGACAATTCCTTTCCAATTCCATCTCCGTTTTCTTCAAACCGACCTTCACAACCTCCTGCTGCTAGGTTTTCCATTTCCAATTGGCGTTACATTGTGCTTATGTCTGTCGACAAGGGTAGCATACACCATAGGGAAAATCGTAGAAATGGACGAAACAGTTGTTAAAAAACACAGACTCAATAGAGTAAGAAGTAATAAGGAAGACTGGGGAGGTAGCACTTCCTTAAGTATGCTTAGCCGATCTTTGATATATATGATAGATCATCTCAAAAGAGACACTTCCAGAGAGTGAGAAATTGACAGGCTAAAGCGATGATGCCAATTATAGAAGAGTATATGTATCCGGTTACCAAAATATACACGGATGACTGGAGAGAATATCGATGTCTATGTAGACTTGTATATATGCATCGTATCATCGTTCACAAGCGACATTTTGTAGACCACACCGCGGGAGTACACACCAATACTATAGAAGCAATGTGGTCGACGCTAAACAAATTTTTACCATCTTATCATTGCTCCAGAGATGCACTATTATGAAGTCAAGTGGATGAGTTCTTATACCGTATGCATTACGATTTCAGAACTGCAGATTTTCTTCCTAACCTTGAAAAGTTTCTAAATCATTTCAAAGAAGTGTATTCATTGTATTTTTTTGGTTTTGTATAGCATACTCTCACTCCATACCAACTGTTTTCTGATTGACTGAAATTTCTTAAGGTCATTCAAGGTCCATCCAAAGGTCGTCTATAAATTATAGTCACGTCTGTTGAATTGTTTTTCCCCTTGGACTACTGTTTATTTTATGTGATTATCAATTTTCGCTAGTTTATTTTGAATTATCTTGGATATATTATGTGTTCGAAAAGAAAATTTATATCAGTGAATATCAATAGTTGAAAGCTTTATTTATTTATTTAAACACAAAAATATTGGTACAAAGAAGCACCGAATACATATGCGCCACACAAGTCACTTGATTCGTGTGTGTGCTGTGATACTGTCGGGGTGCCCAGCCAAAACAGGTGGTTTTCTTAGGAGGCCACACCCGGAGCCATTGACTTAAAGGTCTGATTCATAAGGTAATGGAGCAACGTTAGGAGATGCAGTCCCATGGTAGCCGATGACCAACAATTGGTTCATACGACATTTTTTTCTTCAGGATACTGGAGCACATGTATACCATTGGTTTGAACTCAGAGTTTTCCAACTTTCCTAGGTGGATTCTGCTTGTCGACCGACCCGGTTAAAATGCCGAACATTTGCTTTTCGTCCTCTCGATTTCGTAAACAACACCCTCGCCTCGGGAAGGCAGTGAGTAGGACTTCCCTGGGAGTGGTTGTATATGCATGGACGTGTGGGAACATTTGGAGAGAGAGAGAGCTGACTCTCCTCACCCTCAGCCATACTAGGGCATTTGGCGGTCAACTGAAAGCTAATTATTTATATTTACAATTATACTATCAAATTTTATGGGTATTGAAAGGCACATGTGGGCTTTAGTGGTTTTACTGAAATAAATATAATTATTTACTACATTCTGAGATTCTGATATACCACTTCACTGGGTGTAAATGAATTCTAACACATTCAACACTGGGATCTTAGTATCCATAATAATAAAATTTGTTAGTTGATAAAAGACATAAATTATCCAATGTATTTCAAACATCTTAAGTTTTTGGGATAATTTTGAAAATAAAGTTCGGAACTATTGAGATGGTTGAGAAGATTTGTAGCTCAGGTGGATGATTTTGGTGGAGTTTTGTTCTCTGAGCTGGATGGTTTGGTCGTAGAGCTTTCATCGTTCTTCTGAACGAGATTATCAGCACAAACTTCAGGTAGAAGTCCGGAACTATTACAATAGAATGAATTTAAATAAAAAAAGTTTGGTTCAGCGAAGAGTTCTCTTTTTCAAAGTTGTACAATCGAACACATTGCTGAAACAATAGCCATATATCCAGAAAAACCAGAATTGTGTGTCCTAAAGAGATTGGTACAACCTTTTATCCTACCATGGTCTTAATATTTTTTCTCATCATATTGGTTTTCCTTTGCAGCCATCTACTTTCCCTTCCATTTTCTCCTTAAATCTTCTACTCTCAATTGGTTTAATTCTGTTTCTATGATCTTCTCGATTACATTTTATCTCAATTTCAACATTCTACCTTATCATGATAAGCCATCCTTTCCCAATGATAATTTCACTATCTATTTTTATGATAAATATTTAAGCACTTAACGATCATTTACTTGGTGTTGCTTACTTATATCTTCCCACTGTTATTTAGGACTGGTATATGTACATCCTGTGCGAACTTCCTCGATATTGCCATAGGTCTCAAGCTTTATAGGCAAAGATGGATAGCGGTTAGCAGTGGAATTGAGGACGCGCGTTTCGCCCTACTTAGGATTCGCCAGGTGGGTGTACCTGCATCTCAGATTTGGTATTCAATCTAGTACTCTAACCCAGTACAATTCACTTCGAACACCATCGCGTTATCTACTTAGCTACTGAGTCCTGACAGCCACCTACTTGTGCCATTATTATTATTACTATTATAAGTTTCCCTGGTTAAAATATTTCTTATATCTTTGTTTATTCTACTTCACTGTTACCATGTCTAACAGAAGTTTATTATCATTATCACTATAATTATTATCACGAAAAAAATAGGTATATATATTTGCGATTGTACAGCTTTGAAAATGAATTCGTCGAAAAGAGAACTGTTCGCTGAATCAATCTTTGTTACCTATTGTCTCAATGGGTGTATTTCGTTCACTGAAGAATGGATTTACTCTGTTTCACTGTTGCTGCCTAATTACAATTATACTAAAATCATAAAAGTGTGTAGTAGGTTAATATGTATGTATGTATGTACATACCTCATTCTTCTTTTAATTATGACATTATTTTGATTCCTCTCCATTTTCCTTCCTGTTTTCTTTATTCCACTTTATATTCCTACTACATGCTACTTATATCTGCATAAGTCACGCATACCATACTATTACATTAGAAGTATGATATCATTGAATCTGTTTACCATAGTTTAGTGATCAATATTTTGGTTTTATCAACCTACTAATCATGATTAATCACTTTTGTATGTTACAGGTGGTATATATTGTTCTTCATTTTACATACTTATCTTCTTATCTAAGGCTTTTCATCAGTTAACTTCAAGTATTCGATAGAGATGAATCACGACTGAAGTAATTTGTAATCGGTCTAAACTTAGCTAATCAATATCCTGTTATAAGTTCATTAAAACATTTTATGAATGTAATATGCTAATTGAAGTCTTACTATTAGAGTAGTTCCTTCAGAACAACCAGCTTCATAAGAACTTCTTTTTGATACATATATATGAGATACTACAAAACGCATTAAAAAATAGAACAAAATAAACATTCTGACCGAAAAACACCAATCTATCTAACACAGTTGACTAACCTGGTGGACATTGATGATTTTCAGCTGTAGATATTACACAGTAATCACCTTTAGGCCATTGAAACTCAGGAAGTTTTTTATCATCTCCTAATAATCCCGTTATTATTGATGATGAAGATGAGGAAGAAGAAGAAGAAGAAGAAGAAGTGACTGTTTCCTCTTCATTATTTGCTTCAATTATAACTTCTCCTGTTTCATTAACTAATTCATCATTTATATTTGGATTATTTCTTTCACAATAATGTACATTTAATGCACTATAATTATGTCCCATTAATTCTAAAAAATATGGTCCTAAACTCATTGGCATTAATTCTAATTCAAAAAATGCTGCTTGATTATTAATTAATGAATAATAATGTTGTGTAAATCCTGGTGGACATGCTTTATCTAAATCATTTCTATGTACATTAGGTAATGCATATTGACCTAATGGCCATTCAGTTTGAAAATAATAACCTATATAGTAAATATTTTAAGAAAAATGTATAAAGAAATATTGTCTTAATAATAATAATAATAGGATAATCAAAATAATTAAGGCTAAGGTAACGATAACGATAAGACGTACTTCTTTTGTACGCATAGCTCCTGAATGGTAAGAGCTTCGGCTATTTTTAAGAATTGGATCTATTCGCTTTCAACTCGGATACGGGAACATACCCTAGCTTGGTTCTATAAGGGTGAAAGGAAAGCGGTTAGGAGTTCTATACTTGAACACCTAATCGACTGTAACCATTCTACAAATCCACAATCTGATTTTAAGGTTGTTTATATGATTCGTTCAAATATACCCAGATTTCTTCGTATCCAACTCTTAAAAATAGCCGAAGCTCTTACCATCCAGGAGCTTAAACCAGAAATATTGTATTGTTCATTGAACATATCAAAGGTATTTATATTTACATATATACATATCGGGTGTGTGAAGATTGTCGGTAAGGAATCTTACTTCATTGAGGTTTTGTGTTATTTTGTACTGGTTAACAAGATATATTTAAAGTGTTAAGAGAACTGGTGCTTCGTATGAGATTCGAATCCAAGTCATTTATCTTTAATCTCTGGTATTATCATTGAATTTTTCAAGATGCGATTAACCTTCTGTAGTATCGATTTATTTACAAGTGATGTTTCACTAATTAGTACTGACTAACTTTAAGCCGGTATAATAGTGTTTTAAAATAGAAGACTTTGATCTTTTATTATATCTCGATGAGAATAATGAATGGTAACTGTTGAAATCTATTTATGGACAAATACTATACACATATTTTTATTGCATGATTGTTAAGTAACTAAACTACGCATATTCGTGTTCCTCTTATGATAAGCTTTATTTTGATCTATGAACTATTATTATACGATTTACCATTCTTGAGTTATGCCCAGTCTATCAATTACTATCTCACTTATTCACAGTCACATTTGCCTAAATATTGTACAAATGTTGTTTCCTATTTTGTAATACGATGTGGTCTGTCTGGTTGGTATATAAACCCAGTATGTTTGAAATAAATGATTCATATCCCAGAGGTTGAGCTTGGTGTTCTGGACTTAACAGGTAGGGCTAGCAGGGAAGCAGGACCGATGAGGACTCCAGGCTGCTCGTACTTGTTTTATGCGTCATTGGTCCGGTCGATAAGTCACTGTTCTCCAATTGGCGGTATCATTACGTTATACATTAATAGGACACAGGGCACAAGTCATAACATCTTTGAAATCTGTTACTTATATCTTCTTCATTTTATCTTGTCGTTTTTTGTTTTATTGTGGTAAAATGATCTTTCTTTGTGCATTCTACTCTTTAAACATGTTTATAATAATAATAATGATAATAATAATAATAATAATAATATGGTTATTTTTGAAATCTAGCATCTGATTTCAGTATATTTCGTATGAGCAATATAATATACGATAAACGTTTCATCCTATCTGAAACTCATGAAGTGCATGTACCCTCATCTCAATATTGATATTTCCACTGAAACTTGAACCAAATACCTTTAACTTCAGATCCTAACATCTTATCCTTTGAGTTAACGAATTCATGCAATGAATAACTTGCTTATTATCATGAAGATATAAGTCATGGTTCTTCATTGTCTAATCGATGCCATTATATCTTTGAGCAAAAACACGCAGCAAAATCAATATTTTTAAATAAGGGTAGAGGGAGAGTTAGATGACAGATACAGTTTAATTCTAATTGGTTAAAAAAAATAGTACTTTTCTATTCCATAATAATTGGTTTCAAACCTGATGATCTTGGTGAGAATATTGACTGAACATTTATACATAATTTAATTAGTATTGTTTGGCTTGTATCTTCCCATTGAGGTTAAGACTGCAATTGATCAATAACAGACTGATCAATTGCAGTCACCCCATTGCACAAGCAGGTGGCTATTAGGACTCAGTAGCTGAGTGGATAACGTGATGGCGTTTGAAGCGAATGGTACTGGGTTCGAGTTCCGGAGTGAACATCAACTCGGAGATGCAGGTACACCAAGCTGACGAGTTTCGAATAGGACGAAACGCGTGTCCTGGATCCCAGTGCTAGCCGCTGTCTACCATTCATACATAACAACTGTATGTAATATCTTCTTTTATATAAACTGTACAGATATCTGACCTTTTTTTATTCTAATCAGTTTATTGAGTCAAATAGATTTGGGATATTTATGTGATGAAGTTTGGGTTATCCAATCAATTAAAGTTGGATTACATAATCAGTGTAAGCATATTTTGAATTACCAAGTAATTATCAATATGTTAACTGACAATAGAATATCTCATAACTTACTTTCTGTCACTTCATTTTCCGAGACAGGAGCAGCTGAAACATAAAATTAATGTAAATGTATAATGACTGTGAAAAAATTACTAATTTTTAGATCTATGAATAACTAATATTTTACTCAACAAGTCTCAAATAACTTAATCCTTTTCCGTCAAGAAAAACGTTGATAGTTCTGAAGTATAAAGAAACCTGGGGTAACTACTTTTCAAGACTAATTTGTCCTATTGTGGGACTCCTCAGTAGTGCGCATCCACGATTCCGCCTCATGAGATTTGAACCCAGGATCTATCGGTCTCCCATGCGAACACTTAATCTCTAGACCACTGAGCTGACCGGCATCCAATAGCGTTAATGTCTAACTTCAACTAATTCACGGAATTGAGAGACACATCCACTATTGTCTTCAGTGTGTCACTATCGCACAATAGACCAGGTGGAACAACTTCTATTTCTGTTGTGCTTCAAGGTCATATATATTAACATATATAAACTGAGCTGTCCAATTATAATTTTGATTTTTCGAAGATTTCTCTGAGTATATTTCGATAGTAATCATATGACCAATTTACTATTCGGACACTTCCTTTTAATGATTTTGTATAATTAGCATTCTAATATTTTTATAAAATTTCAGGTAATGAATATTTTTACAAAGTATAGCGATGTGTGAATGTTTCAGCATACAAATTCAATGTACTAAAATTACCATAAAAAAGTGATTAATGACCCTTTCTGATAATATTTATCATGTGCTCATTAGTGACTAACTTCAAGAGGTATTTCCGGGAGTTCTAATGAGAAGCAATGACCAGTGAAGTTTAATCGTGTCTATTGTGAGGTAGTGACTCACTGAAGACAATGGTAATCGGTGGCGCAATTTCGCATATTGGTTTAAGTTAGACATTAACACCACTAGATACCGGCCAGCTCAGTGGTTTAGAGGTTAGGTGTTCGTGTGCAAGACCGATAGGTCCTGGGTTTAAGTCCCGCGTGTGGGGTCGTAGGTGAGCATCGCTGGATAGATCCATACTACGGTGAAACGGCAATCCAGTGCTACCAGGTTTTCCACAGTGGTCTACCTTTGATTGAATCATGAATTCAACTACTTAAAATTACTACAATCTCCACAAAACTCCCTTTCTGATAAAAATTAAATTGTTGTTAATATTACTTACCCTGTTCATAATAGCATAAATTGATTTCAACATCACAAAAATCATGATATGGTACACGTGCTGGTGTTAAACCTTTCACATTATATGGTGACCAAGTATGATTTTGATCAACTGACCACCAGTTTGGATCACCTCGATTAGGTGCATCTACACAAATATATTCTTCAGTAACATGCATTCCAGTAATTTGTTGACATTTATCTCCAACCCTAAGTATATAATAATAATAAGAATAATGATAATAGTTTTCATGCAAGTTGTTTCAAATTTAAAACGTCCCTATAATGACAACTTGATCGAATCACTTAGTTATACCACAGACGTATTAAACTTTAAAAACGTGATACATCACGTTAACCGTTGGCAGAGAAACAAACGCTTATATAAATTACCTGTACAAATAAAAAGGACCAGTTTCAGCAGGGAAACCATCAATTGGACTGTCAACACTTGGTGAATCAGTTCGACAACAGAAATGATAATTGAGTCGGTCAATTTTTGATGTACTCTCTTTCATATGTGCTCTTATACGAATAATATCTGGTGTAGATGTTGTTGTTTGTTGTAGTAAATCTATGTTTCGATTTATTTGTGAATCTGAGGTGTCTTTGGAATGTGTCAGCTTTTCCGGTCCTTCAAGTATACTTAACAATCCTTCACTGAAATCTGGAAAATAGTGTAAAAAATGTGTATGAAAACAATGAATGAGTTTTGAACATGAATAAATATATTCCAGTCCATCTAATAAATGCACTTACTGAGCTATAAATAGCTATTTTACAACATTTAAGGTACTTTAATTTTATCCGTTCCAAACTATCATAAATGCTTTCGTTCCATCTCTATTTTCATTGTTCAAGTTGTCACTAGAAGTCTTCACATACCAGGCTTCTTGGTTGCTTATTGTTTTATGTTTTAGTGTCTTCAAATCGTTCCACTACTACGCTATTATGACCATTTTGTAATTGAAGAATGAAAAACGTCTAAGGGTAGTAGATTCAATGAGTAGAAAGTGAGATCAAGAGTGGCGATCCAGTTACCCTAAGTTTTGTAAAACGACGTTTTTGTGACCTTCGTTTGTATATTAATTGGATAGCACAGATCTATATCTTTGGTCCATAAATCTAAATTCAACTATTTCAGGATGTCGTGCGATGATTACCCATAATCATTAGTGATAACTGTCTGCATTCATTCACAGTTAAACTTTACCGGTACCGGGTTCCTGGGTTCGAGACCTCTAGGGGTCATGAATTTTTACTGCCAAGAAGTTTCACAGTAGTATCAAATAGCTGTTTTCTGATGCCTGATCTTCTATGGTAAAAATAACTTATTTTCAAACGTAAGCGAATTAAGTTCTTGGAATATGAAGTAGGCTTAGGCGCAAACTTGACGGCAGTTTGCTCAAATTTTTGGGTCGCCATTTTTCAAAACACATATTTATTTCCAAGGACTTTTTTGTTAAAGATTTATTTCAATTAACCATTTATGTCCCTCAACCATGAGTATTTAACGCGAATCTAATTACCGAGGAATTCGTCAACTAACACGCTGAAAGGTTGATAAATACAGAATCCATACATTAGATATATTCAGTGATGAACAGAGATATCGTGGGAACTAGCTCGATTGTAAACATACGCAATTGACTATGAATAAAAGATAATCATTGTCTAAATATTTTTCATGCCAATGCTTTTGTAATATTCATAAGTCAAATACTTATAGTATAGGAATTTAATTGAGATTCTTTACTGAGAATTGTTGGGCGGTCGTTAGAGTTTAATATCGACAATGTGCGCTTCTTATATAAGATCCCAACTGGCTACTTTAGTCAATAAACTAAGTGTAAAGTGTTAGCTTTTATTGGCTAAGCTGAACCAAGTTAAATCAACAAAATCATTCAATAATGTATAACTGTTTTTCGTAAAAAGTCAAACCCTATTCTTAACTAACAGGGTATATCTGTCTCTTCAGAAAGTTAAGTCATATCATGACCAGTGGCATATATCCATCAGCATTCCACCTATTATTTAACCACTAAACAACTTACCTACTGGACAGTTACCATTGACACGTAGTACACAGTAATGACCAGCTGGAAGAGATTCTTCACCTCCATAGTTTCCTGTACGATGTGTAGTTTGATCATCAGTGAATACACAATAGTCCAACAGTATATCTTTTTTACGCTTAAAATAAACTCCATCTAGATGAATTGGCTATTTAATGGTATTTTAAACAAGAGAAAATGATCAGTAGAAAGGAATATGTTACATTGAGTATTTTAAGGTTGTAGCTTTTTGTTAATTCAAATGTTAATTATATTAGTTAAGTGGTTGTAGGCAGTCAACAGGAAATCCTACTTGATCTAAGGTGTGCACTAGTTGATAGCTATCAGAAAAGTTTACCTGCAATCTTGAGGAGAATGGCATTCCTTATAGGTTTTGAAACCCTTATCACTTAATTTCACGGTGTCAGGCACTTCATGCTGATTACCTCAAACTACCTAACATTTTAATTAGTGCAGGCAATACTGAATCACTTCAAATAGTGGTAACATCGTAACTTGGTCGATAAAATAACTTGATCACTACTGAATGCCTTGACAAATAAGCCAATAGCCATTACTAAGTGATCAATTAATCAAAAACTTCATTTGATCGTCAGCATTTCATCCTCTATGGGAATCGTCAGTTGTACAAAATGGGCGTCCTGCATTCCACTATTAGCCACCATCGATTTTTGCTTATAATGCTTGTGATCCAAGGCAATATGGAGGCAATCCTAATAGGATGCAGTCCTAAACATCAATGAAAAGATTCTAACAAACAATACAAAATGAATTTATCAATGTCTCTGCTAGTAGTCAGTTCTTTACACAGAGCTTCAAACGAAGCACTTTATCCATTTATTTCCTTTTAAAAGATGAATCTTAAAATTTGACTTATATTTGTGATATGTCCAACTAGAATGAATTGTGATTAGTCAGTGAATGAAGACAAATGTGATCAGCTGCATCAAATATGAGGTTGTCTTATATTATGAAATGTGTCTCATTTTGATCCAAATAATAACCTGCTCCGTACTTGCGCTAATATGCTCTTATTCTAATCATATCCGATTCTTGATCGTTGGTTGGATAACTGAAAATCGTTATCCAGTGTTTATTGCTAGTAATCGAAACAGTTCAATTCATTCAGGCTGCTCTAAACATTTCTTATTCTCAAACATAATACTATCCTCTGTTGTTTGCGTATACTTAAGCATGAATCATTCAATTGTTAGCATAGAGGGTTTATGGAGATTGTTAAATTTGAGATTTCACATAACGGATTGACTTTAGCTGGAAAACTATCTAACAACTGAAAGTACTAGAGAGCTATTTTGTCCTTATATGATACTCGTCAACTGTGTACATTCATGACTTCACAATAGATTGAATCCAGGATCTTTAGAACTCGTGACAAGTGTTTAGCTTCCAGATCACTGTCAGCATTATATGGTTGACATTTTTATTTTCAATCATTTCTAAGTAAGTTTTAGGTTAACAAGATTGTCAAGATTGAATTGATAACTGTAAGCTTATTAAAGTCAATAACTAATCAGTTAATAAATAATGATTTTAAAACAAACTAACTTGTGAATAGTGAAATCCATATCTATCTTGTTGATGTCGCATTGTTGCTTTTACGGAACCTTTTGGACAATCATTTAATGATTTTGGTATAGCATAGTTTGCTACAGGCCAATCTGTGTAATACGAAGAAAAGAACATATGCTGAAATAATTACGAAATTATCATATCAGAATAGAATGCAAAGTTTATAGAAGTGGTTCTATTCTAATCTACTTTTTCTTTTTCACCAAAAACTCTATTCACTAATGGCTGTGTAATAAGAAGTGGTTATTATCGAAGCTCTCCATTATTTTGAGTGAGTTCTCGAAATTTTAGAAGAAAATCAGTACTGAATGACTTCGTATATATCTGGATTGAAAAAAAGGTAGTCAACAGGAAACCTCTGACCGAGGTTTCGTGCTATTTGGCACTCGTCAGCAAAGTGTACCTGTAATTTTGATTGAAATAGTCGTTACAAATCATATTGGATGATCTTAACTCTATATCCTAAATCGATTAAAGTCGGAAATATGTACCAGTGAATTTTAATCAAGGGGTCTAATGGCTAAACGCCCTCCACGAGATTTAAAGATTTTGTGTTCAGTCTTTGACGAGATCGTGAATGCTCACTGCTGATCAGTTCCAAACTAAGATCAAACAGTTATCCAGTATTGACACATTTTCATTGAAATCCCAGGTGAAATCATTGCATAACAAGTGGCCCCCAAATATTATTCATTTTACTGATTTCAAAATATTAAGCAAATTTTCATATTTCCACACTTGATGATTTTACTATCCATCAAGACTTAATGTATTTTCATGTTTATAATTTTAGCTCATTTTTTTAAACTGTTCAAATTCATTATAAGTAGAATAAAGATTATAAAAAAATAATTCCAAACTTACTTCGATGATCATCTGTACCGGGTGTTTTACCTGTACCATATTCACAATATATTACATGTACAATATCATTTTCCGACCATATACCAGTTTGAATATCAAAATGTAAACCGTTCGATTTGGAGACATTGAATAATGTAAGTAAATTTTTATATTGTCCATACAATTGTTTATTTTGAGGACGTGATGATAATGAGACATTCTCTGGTATATACATACTTTCAACAATACGTCGTTTCAATTGTATATCACGAAATTGAGGGCAATAACTTAAGTCTTTTAAATATTTTTGTGAATTAGTTTGTTCATACGTAGTTAATACTTTGGTCCCGGTGAAATTTTTCAATTCCCTCTTGTCATCCTTTGTTGGCCAACCCAAAGTGACAAATGAACGAACTGTTGGTGTGTTTATTGACGTTGTTGTTGTTGTTGATGATGATGATGTCTGATTAAGTTTATCGACTTCTGAAATATATTCTTTAATAAGGCAACAAATAACCGTATTCATATATGGTGCAGCACCGACTTCTCTAAAGACTACAGCAGAAAAATCAAGAACAAAGTAACATTAAAATTCTCTGAATAACAAAGTAATTGCTTGTATAATTTACGTCATGAACTGACCTTAGTTAAATAGCCATTTGAAATCAAGAAGCATTGAACAACTGTTTCGGCCCCGAAACGGACTACTTAGAAGTGCACATGCGCAATCGTATTGGTGATGTTGCCCAAAATTTTCAGGTTTCTTGATGAGTGCTCAATCAAACTTACCTAAGTTAATTAACTGAATACTGAGGTTTCTTCAAAAATTATTTGGGTAATGATCTTTATTAGTATCGTATTTCATGCTGAGCTAATCAATGAATGGAGCAGATATCTACAGATGGCATTTGATGATGGTTGTACAACATCGCAAATTATTTAAATCAAGCAGTATGAAACACTGGACATTTACCAAGTAATCTAAAGTTTAAGCTATCACAGTAAGATCAAAAATTCATGGATTCTATCACTGGTTAGATTTTAGACATACACTGATGAAATATCCTTTTCTAAGGAGAACTAGAGGTCCAGTGCTTCGAATTTCTTACTCAAAGTAAGCTTGCTAGTTAACTATATATGGATTATATCTTCATATTTTCTTCAACAAATTCACTAATTATCAGAAGGGGTATTGTGGAGATCTTATTAATTTAATAGTTGAATTCACGAGTCAATTAAAGCTAGATCTCGATGAAAAACCTGAAAGCAAAAAAAGGCCGTTTCGTCCCACAATGAGACTTTTCAGCAGTGCACATCCACGATCCCGCCCGCGGGATTCGAACCCAGGACCTATCGTTCCAGCGCGAGACCGATAGGTTTTGAAAGATAACATTTATTAAAATGTCCACTACAATTTTCACTTTATCATTACTTCACACTGAGAAAGTCTTGACGTCATCTCTAGTCTCTGTTGTTTCATGAATACTTTTGTATTAGGTAATAGTTTATGCAAAATCTTCTAATTTTCATTTACGAAGTTAACTATGAATAATCAGTAAATTCTCAAAAAAAATTTTAAACTATTTATGACTAAAAACTGATCAACTTAGAAAACAAATTTATACTTTGGTGCATAATTTAATCATAAACAAATGTCACCTAATAAATTAGTGAGGGCTCAGCCCTACAGGAGGACAGTCGTGACTCGAATAGCCCGGTGGTAACGTCTCTGGCTGTGAAAATAAATAATACGGGGTAGAATCCGTCAGGGAGCGTCAATTCCCTCAAGATTACAGGTACATCTTGCTGACGAGTGACAAGCAGCATGAAACCCATTTTTAGGGTTTCCTGTCAATTACCTCCAACCACCATCTCATCTCAACATAGTGCACGTAATGTCGAGTCACCTAGACTAGTGATCACATTACAACTTGGTCGATAGGATTTTTGTTCTTTCGTTTCCATATCAATCATTTTTTGTTCTCGTTTTCTTTTATTTGATGTTCTGCCTCTAGGCATTTTACTTTTGATTGATGATACATACTACTTATATTTAACGACATCAGTAGCACACATCACAATACCAGAATGAAACAAATATCCATTGCTATTTAACTTTCAGCAACACTCTAAACAAAGTTTATCTATGATAAATACAATATAGAAAAATGTTATTATTAATTTAATACAAAGCTTTCTTACATTTATATGGACAATTACCAAATACTGATATACAATATCCAGTTGATGGATGAATTAATGTGGGAATATTTTCCAAATTCAATTCATTGAAGCATATATCACTTGAATCACTTGTACGTGTTGTCCAACGTGGTCGTTTATATGTTAACCATTGATCTTGCACTGAAATTAAGCATAAATTACAAATTATAAAACGAGATTAGTAGTAATGTTTATGGTTAGAACACTCGGTTAGTGGAAGTTGAAATAATCTGTAAGAAATGCCATATGTATATATCATGATATGAGTTTTTCTACTGATGATCTGGTGGAATGAATGTGATCAGTCTGTTGGTATATCTAGATCTTTAGTGCAATACCTAGAGAGTACCTTCAGTTAACAACGTTTTCCTACCCGTTGAAAACGTTGGCAGCTATCTGAATTCAGTAGATCAGTGGTTAATATGTTGCTGTTTGGAGTTCCAGATTTGAGTTTCACCATAACCATAAACACAGTGATCCAGTAGATATAGCTGCGGAGTCTTAAACATGATGAACCGTGAGTCTTAGATTTCAATGCTAGCCACAATATAACTTCACCAAAAAAACAGAGCATTAGTCATCCCTAAGTTGTAGATACTTTTGAATGATGAGTTCCAACTAACAAGTTACTTAAATACAAGGCTTTCTATTAACTAGTCATCAAGAAATATCATTAATCATCCCATTCCCTCTTCGGACATGTTTTAGCTTAGCGAAATTTTAAATAACAAATGAACAGTAACGTTTAACAAAATTACGGTGGAATCAAGAATAGTGATTTTGCCATAAACATTTATATAGCTCAATGGACGCTTCATCACCTTTTAAAATTCTGATACCTCATATAAAAGAACACATTATTATGGCACATACTACTACTACTACTACTACTACTACTACTACTACTACTACTACTACTACTACTACTACTACTACTACTACTACTACTACTACTACTACTACTACTACTACCACTTCTATGTTGTGTGCTACTGATGTTGATATATATAAGTAGTATGTATCACCAGTCGAAAGTGGAATGCCCTTTTGGCAGAAGGTTGAGAAAATCAAAGAGAAGAGAATGAGAACAGAGAGTGATTGGTGTAAATACGAAAGAATTATGAAGTCTGAGATGATTGATTGACATTTTGCAAATGAAGTATTCACTGTATGGTTCTCAAATTTGACTAGGGCATTCTGTAATTTTATATTTAAATACATTTGATTGTCTCCACTAATGTTCTCGTTCACTACAATAGCTTTTGTTATTCATTCAAATTATTCAATTCAATCTCTTTGTTACACTTGATCATATTTGAATTAACTCACTTATATTAAAGAATAATGCAGATAAACGACCCAATTGGCTTCTTCTAAATCCGACCCCTTTAATTTGATCATAAAAAGTACAGTACAGTAATACATTAAAGAATGATTTTAACAATTCTAAAATTGATTTCATCACAAGTCAAGATATTAAGATTATACTTGAATTGAATTTAGTTTATTGTTATGTTATCGGATAGTCCGGTTTAAATTCACGCTTCTTAAACGTTTGATTAAACACAAACGAAAGCAGGAATGTTGAGAAATGATTAGGAAACCTTCAGTGGTAAACTTAATCAATTAGTACACAAAAACACAGATATACATACATTGATGAGTTGACTTTCTCGAATAGCGTACCTTGTTTATCATCACCTACATATTGTTTGACCTTAATGTGATATGTGAGTAACGGTAGGTGGAATGTGTGGACTTGTCTGGCATAACATTTATCATAACTTAGTAAAACAATCAGCTTAAGGTTAACGTGTTTTAAATCAGCCGATCAAAAACGTTAGATCTATGCACTATTGGATCCCGGCTTAATGGTTTAGAAGTTAAGTGTTAGCGAGCGGGACTACAGGTCATAGGTTCGACTTAAAATTGAAGGATCACGGATAGATACCGCTGAGAAGTCTCATACTAGGATGAAATAGCCGTCAAATACTTCCAAGTTTTCAGCGGTTGTTTAACTTTGGTCGGTACGTGATTTCAGTGAAAAGAATTACTGTTATGACGATTGAACCTACTTTTTCCAGGTAACTTTGAACAGTATTTTGGCACAGAAGTTTTATTATTATCACTCCCGTTTACAGTGTCATTTAAACTGGAAACAACACGTGGCCATACCAGCATTATATGTGATCTATCTATTTAAGAAAAAAAAAGTACCAAGAAGACAAAATATGATTAATAATTATTATAAAAAGTGAAGAAAAAAGCTGACAAGTCGAAATGATTTGAAATAAACAGCTGTATTTCACAAGATCTTAAATTCAGTCCCTAACAATTTGATTTCGATGACTAGATCAGTCAGTCAGATACAATGTAGGACCTGGCCTGACAGTGTTACTGGGCTTTATGCATAAACTGTCATGTGAAAATGAATATTAGAGTTAGTGATACGTTTATCTGCCTAATCCATACATTAACTGAAAGGAGTAAACAAAATTACTGCCAAGATAAAATTCTCTGAAGTGGAGTGGTATAATTCCGGAGCTTTCATTGTTTATTGTCTGAAATGAACAATACTCACAGTTCATTCTGTTTTGGGACAAAATATTGCACATGAATCAGTTAAAAGTAGATGTTGTTCGCTGACTGAAACCTTTTTGTCAAAAACTCAGTATGCATAATATTACTATTTACTACGTAAGTGAGATGTAGAAGTGGCTACGATGCTGTAATTGACAGAAGCAAAGAAATAAGTATACAGATTGTTGGTGTATAAACTTTTCTTCTTTTTGATTTAAACAAGGACATGTAGATTGAAACATTATTCAAGAGACTAGTGGAAATCTTCGAATAGCGTGTTTTAAGACGATATATGAACACAAATACGTGATATGTTTAAACATACCCAGTCTATCAGCTGATAGGGCTCCATGCTTATGTTTGAGAGTTTATCAGCATATTTCAAACTTTGTCAAATGTGGATTTTTAAAATTGAAGTTGTCGATAATACCTGCATTTCTAAATAACCGTATTACATAACTCTTTCATTTCTTTCGAATCTGTTGCCAGTTGGCTATTCAAATTGTAGTTTACATTCATCACCGATTGATACCAAGTTTCTGATAATAAAGACTTCAGTCCGAGACTGCTAGGTTTGAAGCTATTACGAGTTCACTTAGTGTGCGAACGAAACAAAGACTTGTGACCGTAGACCAATAAGCTAGCTATTTGATGCGTCCCAGCCCCGCTAACTAGAGGAAGAAGTCCAAGCTTGGAACGGGAAAGTATATTCCGTAAGCCAGAAGCATGAGTGAATAATAACAGACACAAATCAAACGTATATATACAGCATAAAACTGTCCTTGGAAAGCGTTGCGAAATAGCATACTAAAAATACACAACGGACCATTAGCATTAAAGATTCTCCCGAGTGAGAAATACGACATGAAGGTGAAAAGAGCACTTTTGGCGCGAAGGCAAGGAAATTTAAATTTCCAAAATAAAATTACAAAATTAAGACATTTACTAAGTGAGTTCTGGGGATCTAACATCCTCAACAGAGACCTATGTGGTTTGGATCTAATTGCTAGTGGGGTTGTGGATAACCACCACTCAAGAATCCCATACTAGAACGAAATAGGTTTTCAATGATCTCTAGTTTTCAATTCTATCCCAAATGAGATCATTCTGTGACAAATTAAAGTAATCTTCAGTAGACTCTATCAACTAGTGCACTTGGTGTTAGGCAAATAAATAAACAAACTATTTTTACCATTGAACCACATAAAAAAGATGGATGAGGACAAACTCCGTTCTCATTCACAATTTTGACCTTGCATCTTGTAACCAACCAAAATGAAGCGGGAATTGTTATTTACACTATTGTAATCCGTTATTGAGGTGATATATCGTTCTCTGTAGTTTCTGATGTAAAGTTTTCTACGACAAAAATACCACTCCATCATGCTATAAACGTGTCAAGTGTAGCGCACTCAGTCATGATGGACGAAAATTACAACATAGTCAAAGTCATACTTCGAATTATTTCTCTCAGGTAAATTATTCCAAAATATCTACAATTGAGTGATTCAATAAACGAAAACATAACCGTATTTGCTGACTACGATACACCTAGATGACAACGCGAAGTTTTACCAGAGACGAAAAAGGACACTTTAATGAATGTGAAATGTGTAACCAAATTCGATTTAAGGCATCCACGTGTCACTGTTGAATAAATGTGGTAACCTCATTATCTAACCTCACCTAAAATGATCCAAGACAGTCTACTCTATGTTAAAAACGAGGCTCAACCCAAAATAAAAACGCCTTAAAAAAACTATCTTTCTGCTATGAAAGCCCCTAAGGTCCACTAAATGAGGTTTCACCAAACCCAAATGTCTGGCACACTGTGCCAAGTAAAATAGTTACTTATAAATGAATTGCTTGGTCTCTAGCATTCACTGTTCACCTTATAAAAAATATAAACTTACTTCCTTTTGGGTAATAAACACATTGATGTAATTCAGCATCAACACTGAAATTCTCTATTGCTTGACATGGTTGATAAACTGCAGGCAGTTTAAACGGGGCTTCTAAATTAATTGGTAATTTAATTGCTCCAATTGATTCTTCAGTACGACAACATGTACTACCAAGACTTTGTAAACTGAAACCGAACCGATCAACACCACTTCTTGATATGAATCCTAGATTTAAAAAAAAAGGTTTCCATATGTAGGAATGATGGATAGTTGTTAAGTAAAAATAATTTTTAAAAGCCTTTCACTCTAATATTAATTATACATTCACTAGCTTCTGGCCTCAAGAAAATGTTTAACTCGAGAAAGAAGTCGTTAGTGACGAAGTTCAAAGATGTTAATTGTATGGTGTCAATAAGTGATAATCACTCAATATTACTGTTTGTATGAAGTTTGACGGTTCAATAAGGTCCAACAATGATCGAAAACTCAATGGTAGTCGTTCATTTATTCAAATCAAACATCGTTTTCATATTATTTTATCCATTTACATCAGGATGAAATAACTATTAACCAGTTAGACCAAGAAACACACTCTCAAACTTCATGAACAGCGCTAGGCATTCAACATTAGTTAATTGTTTGAATATTGGTAGCCTTAAAATACATTTTGAATGACCTTCCAACTTGATAAAAGTTTCAATAACGTTGTACAACACTTAAATCATTCTAAAAATCCCCAGGCTTCATTCAAAAGTATATTCTATTGAAAAGCCAGTTATATAAATATACCAGTTAACCAATTGATTTAATCTCAATGACTATCACTACTAATACCAGTACTTATACTGATACCACCACAACTAATACTAATACTATTACTAATACCATTACCTTTTCCGTCATAATTAACAGTGTTTTCTGTTATATCCGGACGAAGAATAGGCGAATAGTAACTGCTAGGATCTGTTTATGGACTTTTATTATATATGTTCTTATTATATAACTATTAAGTAACTATGTTATATGTATATTCATATTCCTTTTATTGTAAGCTTCCATTTAGCTTATTGACAAC